TCTCAAAAAAAAAAAAAAAAAACAAACAAAAAAAAAGTTAGACAAAAACGACCTACACTTTTTGCCAACAACTCACAACAAGGTACCAGCTCACATGGCACTGTATGAGGGAGTTTTTAGCCAGTAAACAAGTAACTGTATTGGAACATCCTCCCTGTTCACCTGATCTGGTCCCCAAGGAGTTTTTACCCAAAGATAAAGGAAATATTGAAGTCATTTTGGTGACATTCAGGACATCGAGGGTAATATGATAACAGCTCTGATGGCCACTACAGAAAAAGAGTTCCAAAATTGCTTTGAAGGGTGGATTAGACGCGGGCGTCAGTACATACCTTGCCAAAGAGTAACTGCAAAGGTGACCGTAGTGATACTCAGCAATGAGGTATGTAGCACTTTTTCTAGGACAAGTTCGCGAGCTTAATTGTCAGACTTCACATATCTTTGGGCTTAACTGTATATGTGTATCATGACATTGTCAGATGCCTGCGTCTTTGCTCAAAATTACTGTGATGTGACAGCCAGAAATTCAGACTGATATGGCTCAAGTACTATGAGCAGTGTTGCTTCATCCAAAGTGATAGGTGCATCTTGTTAAATCTGAACAATAAGTAGTACAGTCTTCCTTGGATTTTCTGAGCAATACATTCCTAGAAAATTCGAGTCATGCTAAAATATGCAAAGACATTTTGTATTTTTCTGACAAAATGTGTGGGGTTCTTGACAGGTTCTTTTTACCTATGCAGATCTTTCAGGGGTACATTTCACAGTAGGGATTTGGAATAATTAATTCTGCACTGTGAATTATGGCCCACTAACTTCTGATAGCTATCATTTGCCAGCATATCCTAAACTCTGGGTGGAGGTAGGGGCACTGCCAGCTGTTTAGAACCACCATGTAAAACCTCTGTTCAGGGAGTGCCACAGCTGAGCAAAAGACAGTGTTTCTAGGGGAAAGGAGCAGAAGCTTCCAGATAGGCATCAGAGCAGTCTGATCTTGCGTGGCAGTGGTGCTCTGCAGGAGTGTTAGCTTCGGGACAGGTAGCCAGCCTGAGCAGGAGTCTTCCCAAGTTTCCTGCCTCCCTAGAAACCATGGATTGGTGATTTCTCTTCCTTTCTCTGTCTTCTTTCTTTTCTTTACTATATAAGATCTTATCTTCATAGGGTCTAGATATGTCCTGCTCAATACAGTAGCTATTAGCCATATTGGCTCTTGGGTACTTGAAAATATAGCCAGTGCAAATTAGGATCTACTGTAAGTGTGAAACATGCAGAAGATTTGGTATGAAAAAAGTAGGTGAACTCTCCCACTAATAATTATATTAATTACATGTTGAAATCCTGATAGCTTGTATTGGATTAAGTAACACATACTATTAAAATTGACCTTTTAAATTGTATCCGTATGATCACTAGAAAGTTTAAAATTACATGCATGGCTGGATAGTGCTGGTCTAGACTTTAGAGTGATGCTGACTTCTGGCATTTCCCCCAGGTTGATATGCATGACATGCTCTTGGAAGAACTGGCACCAGTGGGACCAGCACACATACCACCAAACATGCACCTGGAGTCACCTGCACTCCAGGTAATGGGACCTGCTCAAGATGCCCCAGTGACAGAGACTTGGCTCCCACAGCCAGGGCCGCAGGAGCTGAACTATGGTGCTGCTGGGGAGTGCCAGCCCTTTCTGGACCCGGGTAAGGCAAGGGTTTTATTTTTTTTTTTCTGTTTTGAGAGCTTGAAGGCTCTCTAGGGTTGGGATTGGGTTACAAACATCAATTACACAATGGAAATGGACTACTCAGATAACGAGGAAGGGGAGGAAATCTCTCTGGGAATGGCAGGAAACAAAGCACTTTAAGATAGAATAGGATTAGGAACCCCTTAAACTAATGATCCTTCTCAGGAAGCTTTTGACCAGGAATGTTATATAGGAAAACGGTAGGCATTTTGATACTCTGGAGTAGGGCTGATATTCCTGGTAAAATTTAATTAATGTGATCTGTAATGTTGTGGGTCTAGAGGGCACTTTTGTATCCTCTTCAGTTGCTTTTATGGTATAAACCTCGCTCAAACATACTTTAGTAATATACTCTCTTCTCCTTTAAGAGAGGGTTTATTCTTTCCATTGTAAAGGAAATGTCTAATTCATTAAATCAAAATGGAGTGTGGTGTTTCTCAAAGTGTACTAAGCAGACCATCTGCAGGAGGAATGCCGAGGCTGCTTATTTAACAAGCTGTCCAGGTGGGTGCTAGATACACTGAAGTTTGAGTGTCACTGGCCCAGAACCACATGGGTCAATTCTAGAAGGAGAAAGTCCAAGTAGAGAAAGGCAGCAGGACTCCTAGCCCCAGTGTAGCTGTGTTTTATTCCCGCCTGGGGTTTTCATACATTCTTACCGGTGCTTCCTGTCCCAACCCCCACCATTAAAGCTTTGGCCCAAGTGTGTCCAGAAACCTCTCCCTGGACTCCCCCAAACACAGTTCAACATGTTGGCTCTTTCAAGAGACTGTTAATTACTGACACCATAAAAGGGACATAAGAAATGAAAATAAGTCAAGAATTGTCCAAGTTAAAAATTATAAACGTTGAATCCATTGATAACTGATATAATGCCAGGGCTTAGTAACCATGTTTGTTTTCACATCTTAGCATTTATTCATTCAGCTAATATGCATGAGCACCCAATGAAGAGCCAGACATTGTGCCAGACCTTGGGATTCAGTAGCACATGAGAAAGGCAGCCCTGACCATCCTGAAGTTTACAGTCTGGTGAATGATTCAGATAGGATTGTGTGTCCTGTGTGTGATGAAATTGGGAGTGTAAAGGGTGTATTGGAGGAAGTAGGATGCTAGGGGAGCATGGAGGAGAGCCATCTAACCAGCTTTTGGTTGAGAGGGAAGATATCAGGAGAAAGAGGGATCTGAATTAAAACCTACAGGGTGGGCCAGGCATGGTGGTTCGCACCTATAATTCTAGGGTAAATTACTATGGGAGGCCAAGGCAGGTGGATTGCCTTAGTTCAGGAGTTCAAGATAAGCCTGAGCAAGAGCAAGACCCCATCTCTGCTAAAAAATGGAAAAACTAGCTGGGCATTGTGGCAGGCACCTGTAGTCCCAACTACCGTGTTTCCCTGAAAATAAGACCTACCCCCAAAATAAACCCTAACAGGATTTCTATGCATTTGTTAAATATAAGCCCTACCCTGATAATAAGACCTAGTGACGTGTGGCTATGCAGATCTGGTGCATGCATTTCTGTGCCGAGCAGTAAGGAAGACTGGAATACCTTTTATCTGCCACAGCTCCTTTCTCCGAGCCTTTCACACCTGGGTGGGTGTGCATGTGATAACCGTGGTTGCAGGCATCCTATTGCGCACGTATGAACGGCTAGGGGAAAGGAGTTCACGCATCACTAGCGCCAGCCCCACCAACAAGGTCGGCTCCCCCTGTCAGGTTCCAGAAGATGACTTAACTGTATTTGAATAAATGTTGTACTATAGATTGTTGTACTATACTTAATAAAAATAAGACATCCCCTGAAAATAAGCCCTAGTGCATCTTCTTGAGAAAAAAAATAAATATAAGACAGTGTCTTATTTTCAGGGAAACTCGGTACTTGGGAGGCTGAGGCAAGAGCATCACTTGAACCCAAGAGTTTGAGGTTGCTGTGAGCTATGATGCATGGCACTCTGCTGAAGGCAACAAAGGAGACTCTGTCTCAAAAAAAAATTAATTTCAATATTTCCTCATATGCATTCTGATACTCCATGTTAATTTGCACCTTTTATCAACATGGCAGATACAAAGATCACATGGTAGCGATATTAATCTTTGTGTTAATATTTCATTCTCCATAGCACATGGAAATTCAATGTATTTAACAAAAGAATTAATTGATTAAGCCAGTTAAAACTTTTATTTATTTATTTATTTATTTTTACTTTTATTTTAAAAATTACTTTTTTTTTTTTGAGACAGAGTCTCACTCTGTGGGTCTGAGTAGAGTGCCATGGCGTTGTAGCTCACAGTATCCTCAAGTTCCTGGGCTTGAGTGATCCTCTTGCCTCAGCTTCCAGGGTAGCTGGCACTACAGGAGCCTGCCATAGGGTCTCATTCATGCTCAGGCTGATCTTGAACTCCTAAATTCAAGCAATCCACCTGCCTCAGCTTCCCAGAGTGCTAGGATTATAGGCATGAGCCAGCCTGCCAGTCAAAATTACAAATTTAGAGGAGGAGAAATTATCCTGTGCTCATTACTGCTTTAAGCGATAGGATATACTTTGCAAAATAATGCAAGCTTATTGTTCCATTATTTAAATGTTACTTAAACTTTTTTTGGGGGGGGGTGTGGGTTTGAACCCACCACCTCCGGTATATGAGGCTGGTGCCCTGCTCCTTTGAGCCACAGGCACCATCCCGATGTTACTTAAACTTTTACTGTGTTTTTAAAAATGAAAATATCTTTTTTTTTTTTTTTTTTTTTTGAGACAGAGCCTCAAGCTGTCCCCCTGGGTAGAGTGCGGTGGCATTACAGCTCACAGCAACCTCCAACTCCTGGGCTCAAGCGAGTGTCCTGCCTCCACCTCCCAAGTAGCTGGGACCACAGGCGCCCGCCACAACGCCCGGCTATTTTTTGGTTGCAGCCGTCATTGTTGTTTGGCGGGTCCGGGCTGGGGATTCGAACCCGCCACCTTAGGTGTACGTGGCTGGCGCCTTAACCGGTTGAGCTATAGGAGCCGAGCCAAAAAATGAAAATATCTTTGATGTATTTATTATGTGAAGTATATTCTACTGTAGACTGAGTGAAGAGCACAAGATACCAGCTGAGTGGAGAAGAAATTTAAAAGTAATGTAAGAAGTCAATTAATTTCATATTAAAGTTTGGCATATAGTTCCTGTTGGCAAAAATTAGATTTTTTTATATAAGTGTGTGTGTATATATATATGTAAAATAAATGTATATATTTTAACAATATTCATTTATTATAACTGAAAACACATATTCATTGCAAAATTAAAAAGAACTTTAAGTGAAAAATGCAAAGTGATTTAAGGAAGATGTAAGCTTAAAAATATTCCTCATTTGAATTCATGCCAAATACTCTAAATACTAGAGATAAGCAATAGTATTAGAATGTCTGGAGTCAAAACGAAAAGAGGCAAAGAGACACTGGTGCTACAAATACAAAATATATTGTGCTTATCTTTGAAAATGTGTAGTTCAAAATTAGTATACTAAAATTGGAACACATTTCCAGTTGTTAAAGCTTTGCATTTTTTATTTCAGTTGATGAGGTTATTGACGGAATTTCTTTTTGCAACGGGTCTTTGATCTCAGAGATTCAAAGAATGAACCCAGAGACCACACAGATCAGAGACGGGACAGGATTTATTAAACAGAAAGGAGCACAGAAAGAATGAAGGGCAACTGAACCTCTGGCAGTAAAGGGGGGAGACCCAAGAGAGAAGTCCCACGTGGGTCTTTTGTCTAGGGGTTTATCTGTTTGTAAACAGGGAGGTCTTGGGGGTAAAAAATCACACTTGGCTGGGAGCTGGCAGACAGAAAACATTTTCCCTACGTTGTTGATTAGTGAATGAGCGTATTAACAAATGAATGCCGTGCCTCTAGCTCAGGGCGAAGCAGCGGGGTGTATGCTTTCCACTTCAGAAAGGGCCGGCTGCTTACATGAAATACTGGCCAAACTGCTTTTCTCTGCTTTTCTCTGTCTCAAAAAAAAAAAAAAAAAGACTTTGATCTAGGGGCTTCCCGCTTGGATTTCACCCCCTCCTCTGCTAGAAGTTCCGATCTCCCTCCTTTTGCTTTCCTCTCTTTTCCTTATCATGTTTGTCGATCTTTGTCCCTGTCAATAAACTCTGACCTGTTGCTTAAAAAAAAAAAGACTTTGACCCATTTTCAATTAATTTTAATAGAGTGTGAGGTAAAGTCCAAATTATATTTTTTCTTATGTGGGCATCCAGGTGTCTCCAGTGTGATTTGTTGAAAGGACTATTCTTTTCACATTTAATGTCCTTGAGTCCTTTGTCAAAAGCTGGTTGACCATAGGTATGTGAATTTATTGCTGGACTCTCATTTCTGTTCCATTGATCTTTATGGGTGTTCTTATAGCAGTACCACACTGCCTTGATTCGCACTGCTTTGTAGTTAAGTTTTGAAACCTGAAAGTGTGAGAGCCCCAACTTTCTTCTTATTTTTCAAGATTGTTTTGCTGTGCCGAGTTTGTTGAAGTTTCTTGTGATATTTAAAATCAGCTTGTCAGTTTCTACAAGAAGTCGGTTGGAACGCTGGTAGGGGTTTTGTTAAATCTGTAGGTCAATTTGGAGATTATTGCCATGTTAACAATATTAAATTTTGTGCTGTAGAACCTGGGATACTTTTCTATTTATTTAGATTTTCTTTGATTTCTTTCAACCATATTTTGTCATTCTCAAAGTATATAAGTTTCACACTGATCTTATTAAATTTGTTCATAAGTACTTTATGCTTGTTAATATTATTTTCAGTAGAATTGTTTTCTTATTTTTACTTCTGGATTGTTCATAGAAAGTGTATAGGATTAGAGTTGATTTTTGTATATTGATTTTGTATCCTGCAGAATTACTGAACTTGTTTATGAGTTCTGGCTGTTTTTTAGTAGATTCTTTAGGATTTTCTATGTTCAAGGTCATGTTGTC